TTTGTTAAATTTCAATGTTTTTCGTCTTTATTTGAGCAAAAATTGTTGAGGGCGATTCATTAATTAAGCAAAAAAAAATTTTTTTCTTAACATTTCAGTGAAAAAATTTATAACTTTTGAACGGTAAGTCGTAGGAACTTGGTCAAGGGCATTTTGGAGAGGTAAGATCTGTGGCTATCAAATGCAGAAAAAAAATCAAAAATTCATCGACTATCTTCGGAGACACACTGAGATTTATAAAAAAAATGTCAAAAATGTCAACAAAAATTCACTTTTTTATTTTATTTCTCGAAAACTACGCTACCGCCAGATAAATGTGATACATTTTCTGAAAGGTCTCGGCAATACCTTTTCAACAAGCCCTAATAAAAAAATAATCCGACGAGTATTTCCAAAGTTACGCTAATTTACATGACTCCCGCTAGAAACCCAAACAAAATTTTTTCAAACGGCTGCCATTTCTCAGGGAAGCGATTTTCGACAAAAACTCAAATGGATGTTTCGTCTTAGAATTGTCCAAGGAATACGCCCCTGAAGTTAAGCTACTCATCACTGGACTACCCTGTATATGGATAAGATATCGCGTAAAATGCCTTTAAACTTGAATGGTTCCAAATTTCGATTTGGATACTTAAATAATTTTCACCGCTCAGATCGGTCAAACTGACCACTGTGCGACGCCTCGCGCGACGACTGAGCGAGCTCAGAATCAAATATATCGCTGGTCAAAGCAGCGCGCTTACAGTACTCGTACATACGTATAATATATCTTAAAGTACGATTTCGGATATTGTTGAAATTGAAACCGAACGAGATAATCATACAATCGATATTTAGAGAGCGAGAGAGAGAGAGAGAGAGAGAGAGAAAGAGAGAGAGAAAGAGTAAATATAACTTTTTGAAATCATATTTTACATTTCATTCATATTTATTTAATATTTACTTTACATTGTCAATGTTTATTGTTTTCTATGGTTGTACTGTACAACGAATATTTCACTATAAAAACTGTTTATTTATATACATTAACGTTTTTTATTATTACTATAGTAAATGTAAAATAAATGGGAAATCAATTTAAAATAAATAAAAAACAAATATTAAAAAAATATTTTTTACATATACAGTTGCAAATGACTAATCAACATGAAATAAATGTAAAATAAATATAAAATAAACATTTTTTAACCATTCACTCAACATATGAATTTTAAACGTAAAATAAACGTTTTTTAAATGTTTAATAATCGTTTTTTCGTAATGAAAATCTGCAAATGTAAAATTAATGAAAAAAACCGTTTAAAAAACATTTAATAAATGTTGTCTGCTGATTGGGACACGCAATCATGGCCGGAATGAATACTGTGAGGATCGAGCAACTGAATCGAGAAAACTACGATACGTGGAAGATTCAGATGCAAGCAATCCTGATAAAAAGCAAGGTATGGGGATATGTAAACGGACAAAAACCGCAGCCGGAAATCATCACTGACAACGCTCAATCACTGGTGGAGGCTAGAAAATGGGAAGCCGAAGACGAGAAGGCGAAGGCCGATATTATCCTGTGCATTAAACCACCTGAATTGAAGCAAATAAAAGGCTGCAACACGTCACGAGAACTATGGACGAAACTACAGGCGATCTACCAATCAACCGGACCCGCCAGAAAATCAACATTGATTAAGCAACTCACATACCACCGAATGCACGAAGGAGAAGACGTACGGGAACACATGCTGTCCTTTTTCGACACTGTGGACAAATTAAATGAAATGGATATTCAAATTAACCCGGATCTACTATCGGTAATGTTATTACATAGCCTACCCTCATTTGCTAACTTTCGCTGCGCTATCGAATCTAGAGACGTACTGCCCTCACCGGAAACCCTTCGGATCAAAATAATGGAGGAAAACGATGCAAGAAAGAGCGACGAAAGAGAGAGCAGCTCGACAGCAATGTTCGCCAAGAAATACTTCAACAAGAAGAAGCCCACCAGAGGAAGAAGCGACAACGGAGGTAAGAACGAGGCAAATACCTCAAACTCACAAAAGAAAGAACCATTTAAATACAAATGCCATAGATGTCGGAAGCCGGGTCACAAAGCTTCTGATTGCACGGAGAAGATCAAAAATTCAGAGGACGCCAAAACGGCGGAAGACCTCTGTCTTTGCGCAAGCTCCGACGAACAGCCGAAACGTCGAGAAACGGGATCCAAGTCCGAGGAAACACGAAGTCAACGACCATGGTGTATGGACAGCGGCTGCACATCTCACATGTGTAGCGAGAATGGTTACTCCATGGAAATAACCACACGAACCAATGGCAGAATCCACCTCGCAAATAACGCTTTCGTCGAAGTGAAAGGAAAAGGGCCCGTTACGTTCACCACGAAGGACAACGAAAGCAGAAGGAATGTAAAGCTATCTGAAGCACTTTACGTCCCGGACCTGAGAACAAACTTGTTATCAGTCGGCAAGATTTGTGACAAAGGTCTCAAAGTCGTTTTCGAGAAGGAAAAGGCCACCGTAGTTGACCAGAATTGGAACGCAATACTGAAGGCCGACCGCACGAGCAGCGGACTATACTGCTTGGAAGCTAAAACTCTCGAAAGTAGTGCTAACGCGGAATGGAACGACGAAAAGGACACCGGACTTCGATCAACTGTAATCTGGCATCGCAAAATGGGTCACTTAAATTTCAAAGATCTAAGAAAATGCACGCAAGAAGGCGCAATAAAAGGGGCGAAGATCGGAAGAGATTTCGATGAATACAACTGCGAGGCATGTGCGATGGGAAAAATGTCAAGGAAACCACTGCCCAAGAAATCCGAGCGACGAACGGAACTGCTTGACATCATCCACAGCGACGTGTGCGGACCCATGCGGACGGAATCAATGGGAAAGTCGCGCTACTTCATCACCTTTATCGACGATTCCTCCAAGTGGTGCGAAGTGAGGTTCCTGAGGAAGAAGAGCGACGCCTTCCAAGCTTTCAAGGAATATAAGGCCCTGGTAGAGAACCTGACCGGAAGGCGAATCAAATGCTTACAGTCCGATAACGGCACTGAGTACGTTAACTCAGCTTTCGATGCATTTTTAAAGGAGAACGGGATTCGCCGAAGACTATCGATCCCATATACACCTGAGCAGAACGGAGTGGCCGAAAGGAAAAACCGGACTTTGGTGGACATGGCGCGCTGTCTCTTGCACGAATCGTCACTGCCGAAATTTATGTGGGCGGAGGCAATCAACACAGCTAATCACATCCGGAATAGGTGCCCCTCCAGTACTCTCGAGGGACGAACTGCGTACGAAAGATGGACCGGACAAGTACCAGATGTGTCTACATTCGAGGTGTTTGTAAGTCAAGTCATGGTTATGAATAGGGAGTTGCACGGAGACAAATGGGACGCCAAATCTCGCAAAGGTATCTGTTTAAAAATAACCGCATAATATAAACTCCCGAGGAGAGGCAGAGTGCCATTGTACCGACCGCAGTGTCGATTAATCGATCGTATTAATATCATATAGTTCAGTATTCAGCGTTGTTGCCAAGGCACAAAACAAACAAGCGATGTATCAAAAAGAAAACAGCAGATTGTCTTCTCACTGCGCGTCGGTTTTCGCCATTAGTAGTATTCGGTAGTCCACTCCGTTAAAACGTTCAGTAAGTTTGTGACTTCTTTGGACTGAATTACACATGTGTACATATCTTGTTAATGATTACGATCATAAACGTTGATGACTCCATACATCAGGAATATTTTCAACCGGCTATATCCTCTTAACATAATACGAGAGCTCACACAATAAGGATCCCTTTATCTGACGACAACATGTCATTCTCCAACGCAATTAAGCAGTAAAAGTTGTGATGCCGACGCTGACATCACAGCTTCATGAGAGTTTTGCTCTCTGTCTGTTCCAAGAACAGTGCAGCCTTCACAAAAGGTATTTAAGTAGTGTTTCACACAAACCAGAGATAAGAGTTCAAGAAGTAACGATATCTCTTGGTTTCAGAAACATCGCTCATCACGAGTTACAATTCATGCGCATGATATTGATATCAGATCAGTCTTAAGAGAACATTTAGTTCTCTTACATATAAGTCAATAGAATTGAAAATCAAACGAACTTACCTGTAAGTGACGTTCGATTGTAATTATATGATAGTCTCGTTCAAAGGGATTACAAACATGGTAGTACCGCTACTTCCGCTAGGTTTCGTCACAAGGTTTAGAGAGTATACTAAAGCTCACTTTCTATATGCGCCTGCGCACCACGGTGGCCATTGCGTCTTCATAATTTTAGAGCTCTGCATATATACTTACAAGTGGAAAATTCATATTAGGGAGGGGGAAATAATTCTCAAGGGTGGGTTGTAATCCCTTTGAACGAGACTATCATATAATTACAATCGAACGTCACTTACAGGTAAGTTCGTTTGATTTTCAATTATATTTCAAGTCTCGTTCTTCGGGATTACAAACATGGTAGATGTTTAGAGTGATAGACTTTACTTTAGGAATTTTCCATTTTTTCTTTTATTCGTTCAATTTATGACTAGAGACATAAGTCTGTATTAGTCTGTGTCTAGTGTACAGAAAAGACACAACTATGCTCTAGTCGTCGCCCAGAACTACTGCCACAAAATTTGCATGGTCGGTTAAAATCGGTCTTTTGTAGAATCTAGCGAACATCTTGGATTGTTCTGACCAGCTAGCTGTTTTCCGAATGATATTTACGTCTAATCCTTTGGCGTCTGCTGTCGAGGTCGCCGCATGTCTTGTACTGTGTGCCGTGAAATGGGTGTTAATGCCCGCTTATTTGAGCCCGCTTCTTTTATCCATCTGCTTAGTGACTGTGAGGTTGCGACACGATGAGGTTTGTTTATTGTAACAAATAGGGTTTTTGCTTTATCTCTCAGATCTTTGGTCGTATCTATGTAATGCATGAGTGTTCTTGCCGCGCATACTTTAGGCCTTCTTTCAAAGAAAGGTAGAAAAACGTAGGTTGCTCTGCACCTACTTTCGACGTTTTTATTGCTTCAGAGATTCTTATCTCAATTCCATCGTGTGAAGGAAAAATGTGATCGATTCTGATCAGTGCTAGAGTTTGGACTCTATGCGCCGTGGCGAGCGCCAATAATATTACTAATTTATAAGTAAGCTTGTTTTAAATCTAATGTATGTAATGGCTCTAACTTTTCTGCCCACTTTAAGGCTACTTCACTATCCCAAATTGAATCGTATTTTGGTTTAGTAGGTCTTAATTTAAAAATTCCTTTGAAAAACCGGGTCATTACTGGATTATTTACGGAATCGTTTGTACTTATAAGTGATATCGCCGCTCTCTCGGTGTTGAGAGTGCCATAGGAAGCTCCCTTGATAAAACGTTGAGATAAAAACTGTAGAACTGCATTTGTTTCTGCCTGAAGAGGATCTAGCTTAAGTTCTCTGCAGAAATTCCACCAATTTTTTAATCCAGAATCGTATTGTCGTAAGGTAGAGGCTGTTAAAGAAGAAACTAAAATATCGATGGCCTCTTCGGGTAGACTTTTCTTCCTGTATGCTATCCGCATAAGGTTCCTGCAACCAGGGAAAGGTGATTCGCCAGAGGATGCGTCAAGGACCTGCAGGGAGACAGTAAAAGATCAGGTGCTGCTTGAAGAATTACTGGTTTTCCTTTAAGCATAGATAAGAATACGGGATACCAGCGCTGGGAGGGCCAGTTTGGTATGACTATTGTCCCCCGGGCCCTGTCATTTTTTATTTTCTGTAAAACATTTAATATCATAGAGAAGGGTGGAAAGGCGTAAAAGTTTAAGTTTTTCCAGCTTATTGTAAAAGCGTCAACAACCCATGCCTCTGGATCCCTTTTCCAGGAGCAGAACTTCTTTACTTTAGCATTAATTTTTGAGGCAAATAAATCAACCTCTGGGTAGCCATATCTGGCTACGATTTTTTGGAAAGCACCATCAGCTAGTTCCCACTCAGTATCTACGTTAGTTCTTCTAGATTCTCTATCCGCGTCTGTATTTTCTTTAGAGGGAATATAAGAAGCGAAAACCCAGATTTCTCTTTTCTCGCACCATTGCCAAATGTTTCTGGCTAAACGATTCAATGTGGGGTATTGAATGCCTCCCATTCTATTTATATACGCTATCGCAGTTGTGTTATCTATTCTAAGTAATATTTCGCATCTTCGACATTCTGATGCGAAACATTTGAGAGAGTAGAAAGCTGCAATCAACTCCAAATGGTTGATATGTAGCTTGCGGTCCAGAACCCGTGAGTATGTGAATTATTGCAACTAGCCCCCCAACCTGTGAGGGAAGCATCCGAAAATATCTCCCTCACAAAACTAAATTGCTTTAGCGGTTGTCTTGCAGAAGGAATATTCCTTCTCCACCAGATCAAATCTGAGATTGAGCTATTTGATATAGACATAGTCTTTTCAAAGTCCTGATCTTGCATAATCAGGGCCATAAATTTATCTCTTTCAAGGATCTTTGTATAAAGCAGGCCGTAAGGGACCGCTGGGCAGGACGCTATTAACAGTCCGATTAATCTTGCGAAATCTCTTATTACACAAGACTTCCTATATAAAAACCTGTCTATTAGCTCCACTAATCCTTTTTGTTTTTCTTGAGGTAATTCCAGGGTCATTTGACCTGAATTAATGATAAAACCCAAGAAACGACATTGTGTGGAAGGAATATTCATACTCTTTTCTTTGTTGATTAAAAACCCTAAGGACTCGAGGACTTTTTTAGTAAATTCTAAGTTACTTTTACAAGACTCGTAAGTCGAACCCACGCAGAGAAAATCATCTAAATACACTGTTGAGAGGTAACCCTGCTTTCTTAACATATTCATTACAGGTTTCATTATTTTAGTGAACACAAAGGGACTGGTACACAGACCAAACGGGAGGCATGTAAATTCATAAAGCGTATCCTTAAAAATGAATCGTAGATATTTTCTGCTATCTTCTTCAACGTTAACTAAGAAATAGGCGTCCTTGAGATCTAATGTGCCCATGAAAAAATCTTTTGATATTAGCTTTACTGCCGTTCTTAAATCTTCAAGTTTGAAGTGCGACGTCTTAATAAATTTATTTAAATATTTTAAATTTAAAATAAACCGCCTCGAGCCATTAGGCTTTGTGACTAAAAAGTAGGGCGAGACGACCTGGCTCTGAACTTTATTACATTTCTTTATCGCCCCGCTAGCCTTTAATTTAAGGATTGCTTTTTCTAATTCTATTTCTTCTTCTATGGAAAACCCATTACCAGTAAATATCTTATTTTGGGTAATCGGGTGAGTAAGGATTATTTTATATCCTTTAATGCAGTTAAGAACGAATTTATCTCGCGTACATCTCGCCCATACTTGGTAGTAGTTTTTTAAACGTCCGGCTGTATGACTTACGTTTTCAGAATTTATTGTTTCTCCGGTTGCGTGGATTGAACCTTGGCTTGCGGGGTTTGTTTCGCCCTGTTTTGTTGTTGGTTCTTCGAGAACTTCTGTGACTTGTAGCCCTGACTCGCTGTTCCCGATCTCGAGGAAGGGCCTCTCCAGTTTAAAGGGCGCCCCGAGTACCTGAGATTTGACTTTTTGGAAGCTGGTGTGGAATTCTGAGAGACCTTTTGAATTCTAATCTCTTTTCCGAGTTTTCCACCGTCTTCGCCGATTTTATTACTTCTCCTAGCTTATCGCCGTAGAGAAATTCTCCCGGGGTTGTTTTTTGAAGCAAATCCTTTACTTGCTTTGTCAATATAGGAGCAATAAAAGCCTTCCTAGCCGAAGAAATCTGGAAATAAAGGTGGGCTATCAATTTTCCAGTATCAGCTAGGCGTTCTAGCAGCTTCAGTCTGTCTATAGGATCCTCCTCGTCCTTCAGGATCATCGAAATTGCTTCTCCCAACGATGCGAGAGCTGTTCCGGCCAAATTTTGTTCTTGAATGAACAAGTTATCTCGTTTAGTGCCGGCTTCGTTTAACGTAGCTGCAATTTCTGCATTCAACGTGGGAGCATCCAAGGAAAGAGTTCCTTTCCTATCATATTTATCTAAAACTTCTGTTTTAGTTTCTTTGGGCAAACCTTCTTTGATCCATTTGGCCCATCTGGAAACCAGATCTGGATGAAGGTCGATCTCTTTCTGCTTTGCATTTTCTGGATCTATCCCGAGGACTTTCTTAGTTTCTTCGTCCAGTTGTTTAGTTCCGACTACCGTGTCGCTAACCTCTGATTTTCCTTCCAAAATTCCGGAATATATCTCTGCAATCTCAGGGTCCGGTATTTGTGACAGCTCGCCCAAAGCCGGTACGTTAGTATGGTCTTTGGTTATGTCACTTGACGTGGAAGGTACAGAGAGGTTATCTGGACGATTCTCCTTTTGGAGGACTGGCTCTTCTGTAAAAGACAGAACCATATAAAGCACTGGTAGTTATTGCCTCCTTCGTGCAAAAGTCACCAGCCATAAAGGCGCAAACGTGTCTCATTCATTACGAGACACGCTGCCCAAGTCCAGAGGAAAGGATCTGAGGGGAGGGAAAGACGTCTTACCTGGGCCTTCTTCGAAGGCGATCCGTCTTCGTCCTAATTTCTCCTCAAGCTTTCTCAGTTTTTTGAGAATTTTTTCCTCCGAATCCTTCTCTCTACTTCTCTTCTTGGTTTTACCCATATTTATGGTATATACTATTATAAAAATAACTCTCCGATGTGACTCTGCCGAGCACAAGAAACGTTATGAAGACGCAATGGCCACCGTGGTGCGCAGGCGCATATAGAAAGTAAGCTTTAGTATACTCTCTAAACCTTGTGACGAAACCTAGCGGAAGTAGCGGTACTACCATGTTTGTAATCCCGAAGAACGAGACTTGAAATATAATTATTGAGAATCCACAGTTCTCTTCCTAACCACTGTCCTTCTTAATAGCAATGTAATTGTTCTCAACTCGCATCGTTCTAATAAGGTTACAGACTCATTCACATTTTATTTCTTAAGAAAATTTCAAACACCGTTCTTATTGTATCAATTGTATTTCTATGTGCATGTTTTAAGGGTTATGAATCCTGTGACGTTGGATCAATCATACTATGGCTAATTAATCTTTATAATATTATTAAACTTCATAGAAAGATTCTACCATCCTTGATACATAAATAAGTTGACTGTTAAATCAATATAAGTTATCTTAGTATTGGCTGAAAATAATATTGCCTGCTTTTCATTCACTTAATTCATATTCAATTAAAGTTTCTTTCATTGTCCTTCAAGCTATACAGATTTATCTCTAATAATATTAAATGATTGTATGTATCCTGATTTATTTTATGTCACAGATTACTCGCACTGTTGTATGATCCATTTGTTTAATTATAATTGTATTATTTGTGTGTTAAATCTTTCTCCTTAGGTATCTCTCTCTCTTTTTATCTCTAAACCCCATCTTAATAGAATTACTTAGAGAGTTCGTACTAAACAGTATCTTTGTAGGTTACTCCGAGGTATCTAAAGGTTTCCGAATTTTTATTCCAGATGAGCTAAAAATAGTAATCAGCAGAGACATCCAGGTGATGGATCGTACCCCTGAAGATGCGCCCCCAATGGCGAAATACAACGAAGACTCCATGAAAGAAACCGTAGGACAGGAAAATGAGCACATCGAATTTCCGATCGAAGTGACTGCGCCGATTGCAAACGAACCGCCTTCCAACCAATCTTCGGACGAGGCAAGCGAGGAATCTCTAACGGAGGCCGAACACGACGATGCGACAGAAACCGTCAGGCGCGGTAGAGGCAGGCCACGCATCGAGCGTACCGGTCGCAGGGGGAGACCAAGAAGACTCTTCCACGATGCTAACTTCGCGGACTTCATAACGGAAATGGCATATTCGAGCGAGGCTTCGCTTGACGAAGCAACTCAAGGTCCGCTGACGAATGGTTGGACGCTATCACGGTCGAACTTAAATCTATCCTCAAGAACGATACATGGACGATTGTGTCCCGTCCTCTGAATGAGAAGATCTTAGGTAGCAGAATCGTCCTACGAAATAAATTCAATCAAGAAGGGATTTTGGAAAGACGAAAAGCGCGAATCGTTGCAAAAGGATTTGCACAGCAGCCCGGAATTGATTACGATGACGCCTTTGCTCCTGTCTCGAGAGTCGAATCCGTCCGACTGATGGTAGCGCTCGCGGCAGAACACGACATGTCGATCGAGCACTTCGACGTAACCACAGCATTTCTCAACGCTAAGCTGGAAGAAAGAGTTTACCTGGAGACGCCGAAAGGTATCCACGAAGTGCTGAAGAACCTTATCCAGACCGAACCACGTAACAGCGAGATACGCAAGAAAGCCGAAAAGATGCTCACGGATCTGAACGACGAGGGCCAGGTCTGTCACCTCAATAAAGCGATATACGGCCTGAGACAAGCGGGAAGATGTTGGCATGACGAACTCAGTAAAGCTCTACTGGCATTCGGTGCCAGGAGGACTCACGCAGATCCTTGTGTCTACCACCTGGGATAAGGCGAGGAAGTCATGCTGATCGTAACTTATGTAGACGACATTCTAGTCGCCTGCAGAAATCAGACCAGGATAGCTGAATTGTACCAGCATCTATCGAAGAAATTTGAGATGAAGAGCTTGGGGCAACTTAAACACTGTCTCGGCATGGAATTCTCATGGAACGACTCGCGAATCACGATTACTCAAAAAGGATACGTTGCGAATCTACTGAAGCGTTTTGGGATGTCGGAGGCGAAACCTGTTTGCACCCCACTCGAACCTAATACGAAGCTACAGAAACCGAATACAACGGTACAAGGGGGAGCAACTTTCCAATATCAAGAACTTATAGGTTCCCTGATGTATCTGGGGATCTGCACCAGACCTGATATTGCTCATGCAATAAACTACCTTAGTCAGTTCAACACTATAAATCATGACTCGACCCACCGCGCCGTCTTCGACAGATGACAGGTTTAGTTTTTACACCTCTAAGTTTTTACACGTAACTGTCAAAAAAGAGGTATTTTTCCGTGCACTTATAATATAAAATAGTATGTGATACATGTGCGGGAGATTGGCTATTGGCCACGAGTAGCGGGTGGGCGCACGAGCCGAAGGCTCGTGCGCCCACCCGCTACTCGTGGCCAATAGCCAATTTTCCGCACATGTATCACAATATACTAATAAAGGTTTCTTTCTGTTGTCTTTTTATAATACAATCTTTTATTACCTTACATATTTTATAGTCTTTTATTACTTTAGTATTTGAACAAACTTTTGACGTTATATCCTTAATGATTTTAAGAATATTGTTATTTACTTATGTGAATATAAAACTAAAAATCTGCAGAACGGATAAAAATAAAACATGTACATAAAAATAAAACATAGTACTCATTTGCAATGAAGCAATTTTTTACATCAAAATATTTCTTTTAAGTTGGGAAAATAAAAAATAGTATAAATGAAATAAGGATATTATCGTCAAATAGAGCATATCAAGACTACCCGAGGCAAATCAAACCCACCATATTAAACAATTTGTCTAGTCCTCTTTTATATCAAATATGTATCTAATAGGTAATGGTGAATGTCTATAAATTGTAAGGTGACGCTATTATGTGTTAAATATTATCACGAGAC